TTTTCTATATTGTGAAAATAGAGAGTAATATTATTTTCTGATAATTTTGGTATATTAAGGAAGATAAACCCAATATAATGTTTCATTAATTATGAATATTTCATAATACAAAATTATTAGGCTAAATGTATAATTAAATAATCAATGGAAGAATATTAAATAGGGATCATTATCATTATGATAATGGTCTGCAGTTTGGAAATAAACTGACAATAACCTTAAAGGAAACAAAATATAACAATTACGCATATTTTAGATTCAAGTATGGTAGAAAACAGTCGAATTTGTAACACTAGTTGCAAATTAATTTACCATTAGTTTGTTGGTAGATTTGGTCCTACGTGACTACTGTATTTTCCGCAGTAACAAATTCGACGGAGAATGCTTCGGTTTCCTTCCAACGGTGCATCGGCCCAGTAACAATAGTTACTATCATGGTATTCAGTATAGTGTGTTTTTATGTAGCCACAATAGCAGGCGCGATTCAATTTATTTCCATACGCTGCATCTCGTGTCCAAGTACAGTTAGAATTTTCATGAATCTCGGTTTTTGCATATTGCTCTGCCATCTTTTCAATGAAAGTTAACTACAGTATTGTTGTAATACGACTACGACCAATTTTGTCAGCCAATTAGGTAACAGAAAAAGCTACACGTGCTTCTAATAGCCAATACAAATGTGACAACAAAATACGTTTACTAATACCAACGTAATGGTGATGGTTTGACCCATAAGAAAGGAAGAAATTAAACCATGAGAAAAATGACACAGGAGTACATCATTCTTTAAAACTTTTTACCGTATGTACACAAAAAAAAAATCTTTTTTTTTTATAAATATATAAACAAAATTCAAAATTACTTAATCTCTGGAAATACATTGTAAATTTTAAAAAGCACAACAAATTCCTTCTTCTGTAACTTTAAACAAAATATTTTAAAATGAGAACATTACAATATCATAATGATGAAGACCATAGGACTGGTAAACATTCTAATGTGCATTAAGGAGTTCTATTGGGGGAAACGTATACACAAACTAATGAAAACAAACTATAATATTATGCTAAACTTCCATACACGAAGGAAGCATCAGTATGAAATAAACTCCAATGAATAGAAACAGTGTAGTAACTATAAATCTTGGAACCCACAAATTATAGAACAAGATCATAATAAATACATTGAAAGGAACAGGTACAACTTGTTAGATGCAAGTAATGACTATGTGTAAAGGGTGGTAACGTGTCGAAATGTTTATCTTTCTTATGTTATTAGGGGTTTTGGCACTAGTGATCTTTAAAAAAATATTTACCTTATTCATCTAGTTGATATCAATGTTTGGATCAATAGTTGAGTGATACCCACAATAGCATTTTCGACGCAGAATATACTTGCTTGGCCTTATATCACTACGATGCCATTTACATCTCCTATTGTAATGCATTTCATCAGAACCATCCTCATGCTTTGGGCAATGACATTCTCTTTTCCATTCATAACTATTATCGCTGCCTGACCTATGCATCTTCCATTGACAACAGTCATTTGTATGCTCCTCTGTATGATGTGTGCTCAAAAATCTGCTCCACCATTGACCCATTGTTATTTTCTGCGGAAATTTTAGTTCGCTTGATATATATATAGTTTTGAGCAACCAATCCCATGTTAGACATTGTTCAAACTTTCTTGTGATTTAAATTATAGTATGACTATTTGCTTGAACGTTGGGATTTATTTTAGCTTTCGGATAGGATAAAGAAAAAAACAGCAAAGCCTCATTGGGGCCTCAACGTACTGGTAGGAGTGGTAGGCATAATGCTGGTTCCTCTGCTTTTCTTGTTAGTTTATAGGATATTTACTGGCTTAGTTAATTTGATACTTTTTCAGCTTTGTCTTTTTCCATTGAGCATTTGTTTAAAATTGATATGAACGCTGTACAGATCTTATTATTATTAGATTATATATAACTTTGATAGCTGATAGTATGATTCGTTTTTAGTTTAAAATAACAATAAAAAAAAATACAGTGTAACCCCTCCTTTGGGACACCCATATTCAGGAGAATTTTTCCATGAAACGAGGGGAAATATATCTTTTAACACTACGGCCAACCCCCATTAGAGACCTATTAAGTGGAAACCCCTATTAAGGGGACGGGGACCGCATTATTTTTTCCCATACAGTTCCGGCAGAAAGTATAGAGGGCACTATTTAAGGCACTAAAACTGAGCATAAAGGGGCCATAAAACAGTGGATGAAGGTTTTCAGAAGTGCACTGAAATCAAGGTTTGGGTGCGGACCTCGGAGTTGAATCAAAAATTAACTTTGCCCCTACGACTCATTTTAATGACCCATATAAATCTCAATAGGCATATTTAAAAAGAATATTTGGTCATTAACATTGCACTTGAATCATAAAACAATATCAGGAACATGTAAAAAGTTTTTTTTTAAAATTACATTTCTGCTATTTCATATCATATATAAAGCTCAATATTTAAAAAAACAGAATATTTAGTCATTAACATTGCACTCGAATCATTAAACAATATTAGGAACATGTAAAGCGTTTATTGTTTTAATTACATTTCCGTTATTTCATATCATAAATAAATTGTTTTTGCCTTGGGGATTATTGTTAAAAATTACTAATTATTCAACTGTAACTCATTCTTAGGCCAATTAAAATAAAATCATAAAGAATCTGACACCATTGTACGAAAACATTCCAAAAACCCCTATTAAGGGGACAATTTCACGTTTTTAGTTATTGTTCCAAAGAGTGTCCCCTAAATAGGATTTTACTTTAATTTTGTAAGTTGTTAACATTGATCGTGAGATATGAGTCATATAGAGTCGTCGACCGACATAAAAATATATGTATTAGACTCCAATTAAATACCATTTTAGTAACAACCTATTAGATCCAAATAAATTAATGCACAGAATGATTTTCATATTTTTGTTTATATACTCTTTTTTCCATTAGTCTTAACCTATTTAGTACTATTATTTATAACTAACAATAAATTAACAGATTAGAAGGGAGAAATAAGTTGTTGTGAGTGCTTGAGTGTATACTATTCTTTTTAATTATTTGTAATAATAATTCCATACTTCTATAATGCATTCCGAAAAAAAAGCCTTAATGCGCTTTACAAAAAGGAAAGAAAACAAGTAGTAAATAATTACGGACCTTAAACTAAAACAGTTCTCAAAAATACATTTAGTTTTATTTAGATTTGTTATTGTATAATATGTAAATGTATAGTATGTTTGATGTTGTATAAATAATCTTTAAATTATTAGGATCGCTCAATCGTTACCGTAAGTTATTTGTCGTCCGTATAGGCCTATTTATAAAGTGTTAGGCCTATTACTTAATATTTGGTAATTTCTATGATATTATAGTAGCCGAATATTGCAACCAACAACATTTAAAGTATTAATAAACACTTCATAAAAAAACAAAAACGATACGCTGAGTAATTGTCATGCTTTGACCTCTGACATAGACATGCACAGTTTAAATTATGTGGGTATAACATAAAATAATATGTTAATGAGTATAATGTAAGCTAATGCGAAATAGCTTTGGTTATCAATTCGTTTGTTTAATAACCCGTTCAATACAAAATTCTAACATTTTCAATTTGTTTGTTATTTGTTTGAAATATATTTTTATGAGAACTAATCCATTAAAATATTATGTTTAAATTAAGGAGAATTAAACTTAGTATTTATTTTTATCATTATTTTTCTTAAGATTATTCGGAATTGTGCATATTGGTGATAGGTGGATGGAAATGACTTTATAAATTCATTACAGTACATTAAGACTATTATATTATATCATGCAAGTCATTTGACCAAATAACTTTATTTGTTCTTTTATATCAGTTGGACTTCATCTTTATAACAGTATAGGTCAATTATAATTCTATGCTAATAATCTTTTTAAAACTATTTACGTGGTGTACCGCAAATATCACATATATTAATAATGCTGTAGCTAAACCGGTAGGGTTTGACACCTACATAGGTCTTACATCGTGCGGAATGAACTGCTAAAGGGGGAAAACACTTTTAATGAACTGTGAACCAATAACAATAGGCCCACATATTTATTCATGTTATGTCGCACGACATCCATCCATATTAACAACAATAACAACGTAATATAAATACAAAATAAGTAAAGTATTGTAGAAATGTAATAGTGTAGAAAAATATTATAGAAGTGCTATGGTAAAGAGAATTTTCTTAACAGACCTAAAGACGTACTGTCCCCTGAAAATGACAGAAAATAATTTTTAAAAAATAATTACCTTGCACATTTTGCAATCATAACATACACATTTTTAACTTGAGCATATAAATTATTAGATTTAAAAAAAAATTACCCATTTAATAATAAAAACTCTTCCAATGACTGGAAGTGTTTCTATCATTTTCGCAGTAAAGTTACGGGTAAACATTTGTTGAATACACTCATTTCTATATTCAAGTTTGAATTTCATGTTTCATCTAAACGAACAACTTAATTTCAAATGAGACTTTTATAATGTTTTATTGTATTTTTCATTTCACTGACTTAGGCTTATATGACTTATATGATTTTATTCTGGATTATGCCTAAAATAAATAGGCCTATACTAACTTTACACTTTAAGATTGTATAAAAAATATTATTATTAATGTTATAATAATTTATATTTTAACCGCATACCAAATATCAACAGAAAACCTACTTGATTTAATTTTACAAGAAAACTACTATATTTTATCTAATTTGAATAATGTTATCGGTTGTAAAGTATATTTTCTAAGCTGCTCAACAAAAAGTTTAGTTTCATAGTTCTCTTATACAGGAATGTGTTTTGACTTTATAGCTTTTAGATAGAATACATGCTACCGTCCTCTTCTGTGACCTCATCGAATCTGAAAAATATAACAAGGACAGACAAAACTATAATTTGAATTTGATAAAAATATTCCCATCATTGTAAATTTATATCCCATAGCCAAAATGTACACATTCATTATATATATATATATCTTTATATATATATATATATATATATATATATATATATATCTGCTTTCACGCTGTAGTCGACTAGAATGTAAAAACCGGAATAGAGTCAGGTGACAGTGTATAGCCAATCATGATTGATATTATACCAGCTTCGAGGATTTTGCTTACTGGTTGTTAGGGAAGAAAGATTACTTCTGATTGGTTCAATCGTTTTTTTTTTAAAGAAAGGTATATTAATATTCAAATTCTACAGCTCAACCCGGAAATGGCGATACCAAACATGACCCACGTTCATGCACGGCCGCCGAAATCACGATCTCGAGAAATCGAGAGGTTTTGGTTGAATTATTCTCTATTTTCTTGATAATTCCGATGAATATACCCTATAATATTTGCGAAAAAACAATGGAAGGGGATATTTTTTGAGTCTAGGCTTTGGGGATTGGGAAGAAGGGATATTAAAGAGTACATTTTAGTAAGTATCTCCAAAATGATAGGGAGGTCGATTTTCAGATCGTACACACTATAGGTCAATTTTACTACTCATGAGCTTTTACGACACTGGACTGATTTCGTGGTGAGGTAGCCCCTATATTATTAATACATGATTGTGTCATCCAAATTTTAATAAAAATTGTATCATTTTATGAATATGAACAATTATTTAAAATAGAGTTCTTGCTCATATTGTACGGATTATAACTATCATTTGTTCTCAAAACATAAATTTACTTAATTTACTGATGTGTTTTGCATAGAGAGGAGAGAGACAACATTTTAGGTAAATAATGGTCTGCGCAATACACCATTCCTCATAAAGAATAACTTCTAATGTAAGAATTAAGTTTACATTAGTTGTTTTCTTGACCTCATACAGTACCGTAACCAATTGAAGACATATCAATCTAAAATTACCATGCCCATAATTTTAATTGAAATTTATCATTTCTAAAATAACGACATTTTGTATTATCCATTTGAATTCTACAACGAATCTATAGAACCATAAACAAAGCATACATTTATATCTGATTGATTATAGTCATGAAGCCTCTGTATATTCCTATTTACACCACATAAGTCTAAACAATGGTGATTTGACTGTCTGCTTGATGTTTAAAATAATTTTATCACCAGTCGTGTAAGAAAGAAAAAAAACTCAATTTTCCACTGAGCGTAACAGCAAAAGCGTCATTCCTAAATCATATTTTATAGTTTTAATTTTCTTAAATGATTGGAAAAAAAAATAAAGGCTAAATTGAACATCTAAAACTAATTGCAAAAATCGATGAAATCATTCGGCATAAACAAAAAATGTCAAAATACTATTTTTGTAATACAGTATTTTAAAAATACTACTATGTTTTGTATCTTTTCTTTCAATCGTAATACTTTGGTAGCAACTTATTCTTATTATTCGATTGTAAGAAATATATCAACAAGTTTTAAATAATATATTTTTTTAAATATGCTTAATATGATTTTTTTTAATTTCTTTTAAAACATTTCAAATGTTAACGAATTTTGATGGAATAAGGTATTATAAATTAATGATATGAATTATGTTTGACTACAATCATGCCACAATAGCAGCCTATTAGAGTTTCTTAAGTAATTCACAAATGATCTATTTTATAAATCATATGCTAAAGTTTCTAATTATTGCAAAACTCGATATTATTCGGCCTCCACAAAAAAATATGTGAAAATACGACTTTACAACCTTAATCATTTCCATCGATCTTCGAACCGACATGAGTTCTGTACTTCCCACAGTAGCACTGCCTACGTAGAATTGTTTCCGTTGGGTCATGTCGACGCTCAATGCTCCAGTAACAATCTTTTTGGTTATGGTTTTCCGTTTACATTTCCATCCACAATTAAGTGTCATTGTTTTTTTATTGATTCTCCTCCATTTGCAGTTTTCTTCAGAATGAATTTCCGTCCTTACAAAATCTTTATTTCTGTTCGACATAATGCAGTTTTGAATAAAAGTGAATCGGCGAACTTGCTATCACTTTGACAATAGGCATAATTTGGCTTGTAAACACACTTGGATGAAATTAACATATCAAAGGTATAGCTCATTTTTCAGCAAAACATGAGTAATTGGATATATACGGTACGAATTATATCTATTGTACAGTTTAAAACACACCCACTGAAACAAATATTTCAAAGCAACAAATCTGATCTATTTGAAAAAAACAACACCCATACATAATTATATCAAAGCCTGTATCTGTGGAATGACTTAAGAGTTTAGTTTGTTTATTAATAATAATGTAATATTCATAATATATGGTATTTTTGCTTGATGTGTATCATGCCAATAGAACAATAAAATATATATAAATATAATAGAACCCCTCTTCCTTTGGGACACTCCTATTCAGAAGACACCCCTCTTAAGAGGACTTTTCTATGAAACGAGGGGAAATATATATCTTTTTAACACTACGACCAACCCCTATTAAGGAGACATCCTTATTATGGGGACGGGGACGGGGACACTTTCTGAGTATGCCAAATTGTCAAATCAATACATATTTAACCACTATTAAGGGGACGATTGTAGTAGTCTCAAAATAAAATAAAAAAACATAATTCAAATATGTATTTTGACACTTTTTAAGCAATAAACCTAACATCAAACCAGAATTACTTTACTTCTTATAAATATAATCTTGTCAATTTTTCCATTAACCAGACTTCCTATTTAGTGTATTTTCAGTATGTGATTTTAATCTATACTGTACAGCTTGCGCCCTTATTTTTTAACCTGTTACTTTAATCGTGCCATTCTATTTCATTTCATTTATTTCGTTTTTGACACAAACATAACAAAGAACAGACACTTTAGGAGGTAGACAAGATTGTCAAAATGTGAGTTGAATCAACTATCAAGTTTTCAACCTGAAAGTGGAAAATTAATTTAAAAGAACAAACATAAATCTTTTTTTTTTCATTGAGTTCAGACGTGAGCTATGGAAATGAGCAGCATTTGTTCTAGACATAATATGTAAAATTTGAATGACTAGCATGAGACAAGCTCTGGGTAATGTACCCATCTTATAAAATACCTTGGCGACAAAAGAAATTCCTAAGAGCTATATCTATTTTCAAGGCTCATCATGCCGAAGTGCTGAAGACAAGTTTCATAAGATAGGTTGAATAATTATTTCGGATGGTAGGCTTAGGAAAACATAATCTGGTGATCCTACGTAGAACTTTTGCTAGATCCTTAATGTGTTGAATCGACGGTTGATAAGGACACCACGGGCACACCATATTCCAGTAAGCATATATTGGTTAGGTGCAGAGTAGTTAGCAGTGGAATACAAGCAGGGTGCTCAAACGTAATAATTGGCATAAATTTATTGATATTAGTCAATTGTAAAACATATATGAAAATGCTTTTTTTTTTAAATTATACTTACATTTTTTTAAATATGCTTAAGATTTTTTTTAAGTATTACTGTTAGAACATTTTTTATTTTAATTGATTTCAAATGTTAACGAATTTTTATGGAATAATGTATCATAAATTAATCATATGAATATTTATTTAGAGTTAATTCACTTAAATGCATTAAAAACCATTTTATAATAGGCCTCGTAATATGTGCATACAAAATTATTCAGAACTATTATTTATTTTCTTTTTCTAAGAATACAACATTGTTATAGACATTAAATTTTTTCTTATTCTTATTGGGAATTCAACTTTAATTTTTAAAATTCATATATTTGCTTGACTACAATAACACAACAGCAACAACCTATTTTTTAGTTTAAAGGGTCATAAATCATTTTATAATTTTAAATTACTTAAATCATTGGAGAAATATAATAAAAACTAAATTGAATATTTCAAAAATAATTCCAAAACTCGATAATATTATTCGGCCTTCACAAAAAATGTGAAAATACGGCTATACAACCTAAATAATTTTCATCGATATTTGAGCAAACATAGGTTTTGTATTGCCTACAGTACAAATAATAATAAATAATGCGTCTCCGAACCTTCCAGATAGTTTTGGCAATTGCACTCTCTTTTCTATACATAACTATTATTGCCGCCTGACCTGTACATCCTCCATTGATAGCGGTGATGTGTATGATCTCTCTACAATTTGTGTATAATTGTACATAGCCTATGTTGTTGATAGGTGGATGGAGTGACTTTTAGTATAGCAATACATTATCACCTATTATATTATGTATGTCGTTCAACAAAATGACTTTAATTGTTCTGGTACATTATATCAGTTGGATTTCATCTGGCATACAGTTATCTACTACTCTATACTACTTCACTATTACACACAATATAAGAAAATTTTCGGTCTTGCATAGCGACCTTTTTAATCATTAAGTTATGAGCACTAGTTAGACCTATTAATTTACTGCATTGTTGACAATTTACAGTAGGTACAAAGCTGTTTTGGGGTAATGTTTCGTTATACAATAAGTCTATTATGAAAAGGTGGAAAATGAAATTTTCGTTGAAGATCCAATTTTTATTCATGTTTCTATATTCGAGCACTGTTGTTATTGTTTATGTATTTGTTTAAATATATCGTGGTCAAGTGATTATGACTTTCGCCATATACGCGAAAGATCCCGTGTTTAAGTTCCGGTGAAGGACGAGATTTTTTCTTGCTTTGTCAGATTTCTTTTGAAGTTTTAGTTGATACATGTTCATTTAATCAAATTTGCCAGTGCAAGTGTAAGTAACGGTTTGTTTTTATCGCTTTAAAAATTCTGATCCAGGTCTTATCTTTGTAGACCTAGTTTTGAATTTTTTTTTTTAATTCTCGTAACTCTCCTTAATAAATTTAGTCAATCTCATCAATTTTATTTAGACAATCCAAAATTTATTTTCAGTTTTTGTATTGCTTTTCTAAGGCTTTTGATACAATTAATCATGATATATTTTCTTATTATCTTTCTAAACTAAGTTAGTATGGAATAAGAGGTATAGGTCTACGTTCGATTTCTAATTATCTTAGTAAAAGACCTCAATTTGTATCTTAAAATAATATAGTTTCTGATAGTTTACCTATTAGTTGTGTATTAGTTAATGACTTACCAATTTCTACTGATTTTTTTCGATTTTAAACTTTTTGCTGATGATTCCAACTTATTTAAACCTTTTTCTGGAAACTTGTTAAACCTTGATGAAAGTTCCAAAAAAGGAATTGATTAGTGCAATGGCAACAAATTAACAATAAATACTGATAAAACCAAGTTTATTGTTTTTCGTTCAAAAAATAAAAATATAACCATTAACAGCTTTATCAAGATACTGAAATTTTAATTTCTGAAACTGATTAAATTTCTCTTGTTGGTGTTACTTTGGATAACTTTCTTTCGTTTAGAGAGAACATTATTGAGTTAGACAACAAATCGGGTTGGTATTTTGCTTAAACTACAGCACTGTATCCCTAAGGACACACTAACCATGCTTTATAATGTTTTAATTCATCCACATCTGATTTATCATGGCATTGGGGGATAGAATACTTATGACTTTTATTTAAAGCCTTTTTTTATAATTACACAAAAATTGTATGTAAGGTGCATTACATTTTCTGATTTTAGGACATTCAGCACCACTGTTTTATTTACCTAAAATATTAGATATATCTAAACTTTATAAACTATGTGTTTTTAAATTTATTTCGATTTATTTAATAATAGATTACCTTATAGTTTATTTGATTATTTTTAAATAACTGAGAAATACATGTTATAGTACACGGTTTAATAATCCTTTTAATTTAAAATAAAACTCAAATAAACATTTAGTACTTTAAAGATTAGTTTATTCGACAGTACACTAGTTTTACAGCACTTCTTCAGGTGAATGTGAAGCTAAATATAAACTGTGTGGATAGACAAAACAAGCTAATTTATTCAAGCATGAGACAAAAGGGCTAGAGCATATGCAATAAACAATATGAAAGATATAAATGTCGGACAGGATAGGTCAGGGGCCAGAAATGTATTAACAAAAATCAGTGAATGCAGAGACTAATTAAAATGGTAAGCATTTATAGAATTGAAATTATAAATAACTACATCCTTGTAGTCCTAATGTCTTAACAAAATACAATAATAATGATAATAAATAATGAATACTTAAGGTATAAAAGCATAGTAATAATATAGTGAATATATTAAAATATAATATGAAAGATGTCTATAAATACTAGGTGTATGTATATGTCCATAATCTTAGAAGCATAAGCATGAACATAAAAAAAATTAAAACTATGAATACAAATGGTAGGCATTCTTCGTGTCATATTAATATTGGACGATTAATTAATTTAGGTCCTTCGTATCATATTAATCAGAAATGCTTTTTAGTTCTATCATTTTGAACAATCTACCTTTAGAGTTAAAACAAAAACAAAAATAATGGTTTTTTTTATCACAACTTTTTACTTTTATTATAGTATACACATTGATAGTTATTAATGATAAATAATCGTTTTTAATTTTTGATTTTATATTTTAAAATCACAAATTGTATAGTATTATCTTATCATTATTATTGTCACCATAATAATTATGATGGTGGCGGTAGTGATAATAATAATTATTTGTATTATTATTATTATTATTATTATTATTATTATTATTATTATTATTATTATTATTATTATTATTATTAGTATTATTATCATCATTATTGTTATTATTATTATTATTAATTTTATTATTATTATTATTATTATTATTATTGTTATTATTATTATCATCATTATTATCATTATTATTATTTTTATTATTATTATTATTATTATTATTATTATTATTATTATTATTATTATTATGTGTCAAATTTTGTAGTTTAAGGGGAATGTGGGTGAGGTGTCCTGCATGATTAGCTCTAGCTATACCTTGGTCACCTTTTGTACTCAATTGATGGATACGTTTTTTTTTTTTAAATGATGATGATAATGATGATGATCATGGGTACGCATGCTTATGCTTACCTGTTGATTGTTGGTGTACCCTAACCTTTTTTTTAATCACATTAGTTTTAAAATTCAATTATTTTTTTTTAATAGTAAGGTGTATTTATTTTCAGTTAACTTAATTTGGTTGTTTAAGATATTTAATAAGCATTGTTTAATGATGTATACATATTCGTTCAAACTCATTAGATTTCAACCAGATTCGAAGAAAATTAGAAACAGTCAAAAAGAGTAGCAAGCAAACAAACTGCGCATTACACTTAAGTTGATCTTTAAAAGGTTTTCTTAATAAAATTGTAATAAAAATACCGTAGCTCTAATTTGTCTAAACTGGTTTGTGCTGGATCAATCTGCACAGGTGTTGATATAAGAATAAAGACATTGTGCTATTTTAAATCTTTTCCCAAGGTCAATAAAGTTTAAACAGTGGGGAGATAGAATATCCTTAGGTTGCATAAATGCTAGATCAATTCAGCAATTCTATTTTATCAGTCAGTAGGTGTTTTGAATATTGTTAAAGGCACTCTGTAAGTTAAAGCAGGATGAAGTTAATGCAGAAATATGACTCCTCCCTGGTGAAAGTAACTACGCATTCTCTATTCCCAATAATCTCTATATAAGCGTATTGATGTTGATCAGAATGATTGTTTGTTTCTCAGTTAATCCAGATTTCATAGTTGTTTAAGCACGTCATAAGAATGATTCTGATAGGTGTTGGCGTATAGTCATTGTAAATAAAAATTAATGAACTCATTATATGCATTGTTCTTTAATCTTCTTTATAGAATTCCCTCTTTCAAACGTTTTTTCCTGCTTTGAAATCCTCTTCATTCAGTGTTTGTTGCAAATGATTTTTTAATGTCACTTTTGATTCTCATTACTGAATTACGTGTTGTTTACAGCATTGCATTATATTTTTCTTGCCCGTCAGGTTTTATATTGTAGCTGCAAGGCATAATAATTATAAGAAAGATATTAATGTCAATAATAATATAAAATATTATTATAATTATAGTAATTAAAACAAGTGCATTGCTTTAAATTATATTGATATGTCTACTTATTTTACAAGGTTCCTTGTCAAGATGATAATAATAATGACAACAATTATGATAGTGATAATGAATATAATAAACATAAAAATGAAAATAACAATATAGAGATAGAAACTAATTAAGGAGTCATATTACTGTACATCAAAACACACAACTTAAATTTGGGTAATAGGCCTAATGTCCAGTCCAGTAGCTACTTACAAGGTTAACGTTTCAGGTTTACTATTTAAGTAAGTTTTGAACTTTCCTTAATTATTAAGGTTCGCTAATCGTCATTATCAAACAAAATGTTTTATAGAATATTAAAAAGGAAGGGTTCTCTACCCATATTCAAGACAAAGGTTCGTTGATCCTTGTAGATTAGATAGGACTGTTTGTCAAAAGGTTCTCAACTTATTGTGTAAAAGGATTTTCATACAAATACAAGGGATTTCCAGACATTTAATATGACAACTGTTTGATCATTACTAGCGAACACCTTTTCTTATTATAACTTTGAACCTTATTAATACATTTCTTTGTTTACAATATGACAAGCAAACTGTTTTCCTGATTGATTCTTCTTATGAATATCGGTTCTTTTATGAAATTATGACTTTTTCTAGAAAACGTTATAAATAGCGGTAGTTCTTTTTTAATAACTATAGAAGCTTTTTTAAGATTGTGATGATTAGCGACTCTTTGGTATATTGTAAGTCTAGCCTAGTCGGATGCCAGCAAACCGTTTGAATACCAATCCGCGATTGATTCAACCAATTTATATTTAACTTGTTCATAAAATAGTGCTGCCACATAAATTTGTAAAACAGGTGTTTTTGAGTGAATGTTACCTGTAGTATTTTTGTATTAGGGTGTTAAATAAATTTACCTTTTACCAATTCTTGTCGACATTTGGGCCAACAGACGACGGGTACCTTCCGCATCTGCAATATCTGCGAAGTATTACTTGGTTTCCAACAGTTTCTTTCATCCACTCACACTGAGAGCGACCGTGTTGCTCCGTTCCACCATTTATATAACGGTGGCAGAAGCATTTCCGCTTATATTTGTTTCCTCCTTTTGCCTTCCATCTGCATCTTATGTCATCATGTATTTCTTTGTCAGACATTTTGTGAAACCTCCTTTGTCATGCGACAGGCGCTTCTACAAAATGTGTAGTCTGGCCGTAGATATGGGTCTAATTTTATGACACGTGATTACATCACATGATATATTCTTAATTATGTTGGATGTTTATACGGTTTCCTTTGGTAACAGAATATACACACTTTCTTTTCTCCCTTCCCCTTTTTCTATGTTTTTGCACAGGATTTTTCTGTCACGTTATGTAAATCCAAGTCAGTTCTCTTTTTATTGTTAGGCATACACAAACAATGAAATTCGTATTCTAAGGTTTGAAGAGTTCATACGCTTACTGTAGATATATGTAAATATAATTATATAAATTGTTATAATATAATAAAGGTAAGATGCTTTACATTTTTAGATTACAAACGTAAGGTAAAATAAAGCAAATTTAAAGGTTAGGACTGAGTTGACATCTAAGTTATGAACAGGTTACATTTAGTACTATCACTTATAACTCTGCTTCTCAAACTGTGAGTCACGACCCGCCCAAATTTTGGTCGCCAAAACATTTCTGAGGGTTGCGCGACTGCTCCTGACTTTAAAAAGTAGAAAATTCTTCTACATATCCGTCGTAAAAAGGACTCAACTCAAGAGATACACCCAGACGTAGATACGAAGACGAAATCTAGAAATTTATTGTCAACCCAAAACCTAGAATCATTGTTGCACTGCCGCCAATCTACCGAAGGATTGATAACATCTTTAAAATTAGGCAGTAACATACCTCACATTAATAGGACGTACCAGTTAATAAATATATATATACAAGTTACGTCGTGTATGAAATGGTGAGTTTCTTCTATTTTTCTTTTTAGTTCCTTTTAGCCTTTTTGTGAGAAGTTGGGAACGTACAAGCTTCATTTTTCTATTATTATTATTTACCCAGTGAACTTCACCAAAGTTGACTGCGTAAGTCACAAATTCGTCATTTTTTATTGTTTTACATTAAACATTTAAAATTATGATAGTATTAAATATTCTCTATATTAAAAAATGAAGCATTCCGCACACGATCGACGATAACAAAACACATTGTGTACTTTGCTGAGTGAATACAAATGGAAACGATTAATCACAGCTACTCTGTATTCGACTTATAATATAAGTAATCATGACAATATAATGCCTTGGGTCGCCAAATAATGGGGGGTCTGAAAGTAGTTTCCACCTAAGAAAATTTGATAAGCAGAGATTTATAACATACATTATATAAACGGATGAGAAAACAGAAATAAATTGTTGCAAGACAATATTTTAACATAGTGTACTTAAACAGAGGGTGTGTTGTTGGCCTTAATTGACTTTGTATAATAATCAGTTAGGACTGAGTTTAATTGCCTAACTAGGTACCTGTGATCTTATGAAACTTATTTTTTGAATCAATGTTAAGAATACCCATAGTACTCTGGTTTTCATTCTTCTTTAATCTGCATCCTGTTTATTGTGTGGTCATTCAATATAGTAGGGCCTACCAATATTACCTTTCTTTTATATTTACTTTATTAGCGTGCCTATAGAGTGCTACAGTGTTACGTCATGATACCACATGATACTACTCCGTTATTATCGGCGACAAAAAATTCGTTCAACCGGGCGCCATTTTCTTCACTTAAAAACCATTGATCCCTATTTCTAACCTAATTATTAAGATGTTGTATCTTACATTTTCTTTGTAAATTTTAATTGATGATTAAATGTGTGTTCGATAACTAATATAATGCGAGCTTTTGTGTTTTTAGTACATTTTGATGGTAAATTATTAAGCCCGACACTCACTGCGTCGTACGACGAATCCATATTTGCTTCCGGCGAGCGATAGACGACGCAACGCCGTCTGCTGATTGTCAGTGGCAATCTGAACGGATCCCCATTAAAAAGACGATCCGTTGGGTCCGCGTCTTCGAGAGCGTTTTTCGTCGCGTTGCCGTCGCGTCGCCGTCGCACGTAGTGAGTAACCGGCTTTAGGTTTTAAAATGCCTATTCCAGAAATCCTATGCTAAACCATTAGGATTATGAAATCATTCAGGCGTAATTTGAACGGTAAACAACGTCTGGTTGACAACAAAGGGCGCCACCTAATGTTGTGACGACACGACTGCTGTGTACTCTATACTCTGCAGCAGATGAACTAAACAATTCTAAATAATTCACGTAGTCATGTTAGGTGGATTCCTTTACAGTTAGTCCTCCAATTTGAGACCATCTTTGAGACCTGACAATTTGGGTAATCTCAGAATTCGGTCTCCAATTAGAGGGTTAGCTTTGTGTTAAATTATTGATGATTGTTATTTTGTTCTTAGAAAAAGTAATCTCGAATTAGAAGGGTCTCGGAATTAGAGGGGTCTCGAATTGGATGGTGCACTGTATTTAGTATGTGCTGTAGATATTAATGTATAATATGAAGAGTAGTCTCGAATTGGAGAGCGAACTGTATTAAATTTATAAACACACTGGTGCATGATCTCCAGCAACCAATTAAATGCCAATATCTTGCAGTAGAATTTCTTTTAATTTATAGGCTTATGCATACTGTCTGTGTATTTTTAAAAGTATCATAACTTTATATAACACACATAACACCGACAATTACTATGATAAAGTAAAACAAAAGATTAGATTTTTGCAGCAATTGTTTGAGCGCTTTTAATGCAACTACAGTAAATAGATACTAACATTTTACAATTCAATGTAAATTTTAAAATGCCTACATTAACATTGTTAATAATAACAATATAATGATGATAAACATTTGCTTAAGCTACCCTTGTCGATGGTGTTATGTATTTATATGCTGAGGTCAATTTAAATACATACATGATGAGAATGGTAATGATGATAAGGATATTAATAATGTTGCAGCTATACCGGTAGGGTTTGACACCTACATGTAGGTCCTACATAAATTCGAACACTTTCGGAATGAACTGCCTAAACATGTGTAGTTATTTGTTAACTAATACAGTAGTAACAAGTCTCCATGTTATTTGTAAAATGCTGCACGATATTCATCAATAAAAAAAATAGCAACAACGTAAGTCAACTAATAATAATAGGCCTACATTATTATCTCTATAATGCTGCAATTAATCAATAATAATAGCCACAACATAAGTTAATTAATAGTGATAGGCCTACATATTATTTATTTATATAATGCAAAAAGGGTAAAGTAATGTAGAAATGCTGTAGTGTAGAAGCAATATAAAATAAGTGCTACAACAAAGTTATTGAAAATAAAAGAAAATCATTAAAAATAATTTGATATTAACTTGCTCTTTTTTGCAGTAACATACAAATTGCTATCTTGAGAATAGAAGTTATTGAATTTTAAAAATGTGCATCCTGATTTTTATACTGGATAATGATTTTTAAACAAAATGAAAATACTTCCAGTGACTGGAAGCATTTTTCGCTGTGAAATTATCGTTTAGATTTTTTATACTAGTTGATGATTTGTATGTTACTTCAAAACGAACAAGTTGATTTTTTCAAATATGAAAGCTACTTGAATTAATTTTACAAGATAATTTTTTATTTAATCTAGACTAAATATAGAAGCGTTATCGGTAAAGTATCTTTTCTATGTTTTCTTTGGAGCAGTGAATAAGCTTGTTGGCTAATCATGGATTGGTGAGGTGCAGAATAGGCGAGTAGTTAGCAGTGGATTACAAAACAGGGTTCGAATGATAGCTTAGTTTAAAAGTTCTTTTGTGCTGTACGTTGACCTTAGCTTAGAAAGAAATAGGATGCATCCTCGTCCTTCATCGAATCTGAAAAATATAACAAGGGCAAAATTAAAACTATAATTTTAACTTAAAAATCATGATAAAAATAATAATGATTACTGTGACATGCTTTTGCCAAAATGAAATCACTTGAAATATAAGATTAAATAATGCAACTATCAGTATAATAGTAATACAAACACAGTTATCAATAGACTGAGTGACAAGGTAAACATGGTCTAATCTCCTCCAGTGAGATTTATATATGCATGTTTCGGACATACCCAATCATGAGGTATATATTATAAATGTGTACATTATATATTTATAAATATATATGTATGTGTATATAGGCCTATATATATGTATATATACATACATACATATATAAATATATATATATATATAGATATATATATATATAGTTGTTTCTATGTATATAATTTATGCTTATATAAAATCATATAAATATATATATTCATATTTATGAACTGCGCATTGACATCAAAGAAAACTAAAGATTCAAGTGAAGAATGATAATGTG